GCCCTTTTTATGATAGCCACGTCTGGCAAAAGGTGGCAATCTCCCAACACGCGAAAGTTTAACGAGCATTTCCCCCCCCCCCCAAATCTAACCCACAATGGATGGCTTTCAGGAAATGATTCTACGAAATCGGGGATCCCATCGCTTCCTGGTGTCGAGCATCATTATCTCTCCCACAAGCGGAGTACTAGTGGGCTAAACATCGGCCCATATGACCTGGGCCACTGATGAGTTACTATCGGGTTATACTTTTTGGTCTTTAACGTCGAGACTCATCCCCAAACAAGATTTTTTTTTGGGGCTTGACCATTTGGTCAACTCATCTCTCTCTCTCTCTCTCTCTCTCTCTCTCTCGCTCTGAGATGTAGGATGACTTCGACAGACACAAAGTGGGTTGATTAAGGAAAATGCAGGGATAGATAAATCAAGCCACAAAATCACACTACCGCTTTGAACTTTTAAATCCAGAGAAAATGATGATGGTGCAGCCCCGTTCCTCGGTCAAGGGTGGGAGTGCTGTCTTACAACCACCATGATAAGTAAAGCTCCAAATTCAAAATCCCAGATGGTTAACCATGAGAAGATGCAAATCTATTATCTAAATCCAATGACGGTGGAAAAACACACAAGAAAATATTGGATGAAATAATATGAATCACCAAAGATTGAAGAGAGGACCTTCAGCACTGAAACAGCGCAAGGGCGGTGTGGTGAGCCTCGAGTTGCAGCAGGACAGTGAAAGATGGAAATTGGAGACCTTGCTGATCAGTCTTCCATCTTGGACTGGGCTCTTTGGGCATGGGGATTACGAATTTATAGTTGCCAACTAGTGGCAAGCTCAAACGGCAAGTGTCCTATGGACACACATTGCTGAATATTATGGGTGAATTAGGCAATGTCTAGGAGATCAACTAAATTGTCCTATTGTGCCATGATGTAATGTCTAAGGTAGTCCTTCAGCATCCCGTTCACTCTCTTCATCTGTCCATCTGTCTATAGATGAAAAGCAATGAAAAAGTTAAGTTCAGTGAAGAGGGTGAAGAGGGTGAAGAGGGCTGATCAGAATCACCCCATGAAGCAAAGGTCACAATCCAACACTGTATCCTGAGGAATACCCCACAACTTGACAATGAGTGCTAAGAAAAGTCCCACCACTTCTTTTGTTTTGCACTCAAAGCATGTTGGTATAAATGTGGCATACTTGAAACATCTATTGACCATGACCAAAATGACGTCATGCTTGCCCACTTGTGGGAGGCTTGTGATGAAGTCCATAGACAAGGACTCCCATGGTCCCTTTAGTATGGGTAGTGCTAAAGTTAGATTTTTGTGTTTTAATTAGTTTTATTATTTTATTTTATTTTTAAAACTTAAAAAATAAATATATGGTATTGTTAATTTTCAAAGTCTGAAGTTAAAATACTTAACATAATTTTAGATTATTTTAAAACATAAAAGAATGAACTATAAAAATTATTTTGCCCATTGGTAAGCAGTCAAGTGGGTAGACCCAGACCAGGGGAGCCACGGGTTGGGCTCAAGTGGCGAAGGACCCACTCTGTGCACGTGTGTGTCCCTCTCCTACCACATCTTGATGGCCAATTGGTAGTAGAGCGAGGAGTGTCTGTACAAATCTGCGCATGTGAGGGCGGACATCTTTTTGCCTTCTCCCAAGATGTCCTGAAAATTATTTTATTCTGAGAGAAGGGATCTCTAGTGAGAGAGGTTAGCTTTGATTTATATTCAACTCATATGCTAAAATATTTCCAATGTGAGACTAAACATTTTCCTGTGTTTCAACTCAGTCATTTGGAGCATGATGTGATCTAGTGGTGTTCAGCAAGCCACGTCATCTGATTAGCCAAATCTTGTGGCTAACAAAGTGTCACGATACTAGATGCATAAAGTTATCCATCGATGCTTTATAAATCTGACGCCGCTCAGCACCCTCTTGGCCCTAAAGTATGATCCAACAGCTAAGAAGGTGTCACTGTACCAGAGACTTAAGTTACCGATCAGTAGCAGTTCATGGCAGGTTGATCCTACATCACTTAATGCACCATATGACCAAGCACATTTGATCCAACGTTTTCTGAAGCACCATGATACCAAGAACTTAAGTTCTCAACGTATCACTATTAAGGATATAGAGATAATAAATGATTATTGTCTAGTAAGACAAACATTATCGATTATCTTTAAAATTTTGACAGTATTTGCAAATACGGCAATCCGTTTCTTCCCTCTTTTTACATGATCAACACCTCTGACGATTGACAAGCTCATTTCTTCTTTCCTCAACTGCACTCAAGGCCTCTGGCAAGTGGTCAGCTTTTATCTTCTCCCCCCAGATGACAATGATAGTGTGGTTGACCTCTCTTTCGTCAGATATCTGCGGCAAGTGGTGCACCACCTCCAGACGATACTTCTGTGACTTCTGGTGTGGTCTGGCACATCTAGACGAAATAAAGCTGCCACACTAGTATCTCCAATTGCCTAGGAGGTAGACTAAATTTGGGTAATGATTTATTTCTTGCTTTTAGTATTTACTTACCTACTTTTGTCATTTATTTATATGTTATGACAAGTTATTTTCGTTTCATGCATGTTTTGATTAAAATGAGTAGAACTAATTCAAAACTTGATAAATGATCTTTATTCTTCTTTTGAATCCTCCAAAACTCGTCTGATATTAAGCTAATATTATTTTTAAATTATTTTCTATTAATTTTTGTAGTTGAATCTCGTTTGATATTTTTAGTGTTTCACGAATAACGATAATTTTTCTACTTTTGAATGCAAAATCAGTAAGATTAAAGGCTGCTTAATGATTGTTCAACAATTAAAATATTGTGGAGACATTCACGGCTGACCTCATGTCATGTGTGTGAATTCTTGAGCACACATTTGTTCGAGAATAATGGTCACCGTGAAATGAGTTGACCATATTTCTCTCTTTCTTTATTTTCATCTTATTTCTCTCTCTCCCTCTCTCATAAGACTTCTCTTCTCTCTCTGTCTCTCGTGAGAATCTCTTCTTTTCTCTCCCTCTTTCTGAATCGATCTCCTTCTCTTTTTTCTCTTGAACAATCTCCCTCTCTCTCCTTCTCTCTCTCTCATGAGACTTTTCTCTCTCTCTCTATCTCACATGAGATTTCCTTCTCTCTCTTCTCTCTCTTTTCTTTCTCTCATGAGACCTTTCTCTCTCTATAGATCTCAAAGGAAGTTCTCAATCCACATGGCGTCCCACTCTCTTGAGTACGCCTTGGGTTTGGAAACTTTGATTCAAGACAATGCGACCCTTGGGTCCTACCCCTAGAGGTCTTTGTGCATTGTCTATCTTGCTTTGGAGATTGCTCATAGCTTCCTCCATTTGATGTTGTAGTATGGACATCGTTGGTTGAATTATTTTCTCAATGTGGATATGTCTTCTTTTTGAGATTCGTATGATGTGGCCATCTCCCCTATCTAATCGTAGATCGACCTAATTTCTTCATTGAATTTCCTCATTGTTAGACATATTAGTCCATTAGAGGGCTTAGTGCACTAGAGCTCATTAGTAGGCTATGTGCATATCTCTCTCTCTCTCTCTCTCTCTCTCTCTCTCTCTCTCTAAAGGGAGGCTTGTAACCTCTTCTTTAATCAATACATTAAGATGGCTTTACCATTCACATGGTATTAGAGCCTAAATTTTTTAACCCTAGAAAATTAGGGTTCTTTGCACTACCACTGCTCAAGTTGCAACTTGATAAGTCTTCATTATCATAAGTTAATAATTAGTAAATAATATAGTTTTAGCCTTAACTCATGATAAATAGACTTATATTTGTGTTAAAGTGTAAAAAGTGATTTTTAATTGATTAACGTGAATTATTAACTAATTATGTGATTTTCTACGAATTTATATGATTTTTATAGTCTTATTTTTGAGATAAATGAAGAAAAAGAAATAAAAATAAAAATATAACAAAATGGGGGGGGACCTTACCAGTCAGCCGGGCCCACAAGTGGGTCAAAAGTGCAATCAAAGAGGAGCTGCGAGCAAGGGCTTGAGCGGCTAGGACCGATGGGGGCACGTGCACCACTC